TCCCAGGCAGAGAGTTCTGCTGTTTGTGGCCCGAGATGGTTCTGAGGCCTCTCCAGACTTCACCAACGTTGTTTTGTTGAAGCTGGTTCTCCATCTTCTGCCTGTAACTGTCCTTCCCATTCCTTATCAGTCCCCTCAGCTCTTTCTGCACCCTTTTCAACTCCTCTTTGTCTCTGGATTTGAAGGCCCACCGTGAACAAATTTGACTCCCTGGTGGGTGAAGTAGTCTGGGCCTACTTATGAAAGGTGCAGTATTCAAATCCATCAGAATATTAGTGTAAATACAACGTCATGATGTAAGCTGGAAGCACAAACAGCACAAAGGTTAGGACTATTCCTGGTTATGGACTATGAGCCTCTGTTGGTTCGCTGCATGTTTATCCAAGATCAGTCCATATTATATGATGCAAATTGGCCTTTTTTGATAAACATTTAGTAAATAGTACCCCAATTAACAAAACATGATTAATCAATAGTTTATGTTGGTGATTTTTCCTGTAGGTAAAATCTCTGGGGTCCGAGCCTAAGCATCTTTGCAGTTATAATTTAGCAAAACAGCAACTTTAGTTAGTTACTAGCAACCGACACCTTCTCAGATCAGGATAACAGGAAGCGACACATTGCAATGACACTTGACTTTGAGTTTTTTGTTCTTTGGAGGAGTGGGGGTAGGGTGTTTGCAGTAGTTTGCAGTGGAAGCCCTCAGTGACTCTGTTTGTGAGAAGGGTGCAAATGTGGCCCGAGGGCTGCTCCCGGACGCGGGTGTAAACCTCCTGCCTGACGGATCCCCTCAAACCTGCCCCACTCACATTCAGAGGTGTCAAAGCACCTGCTGCCATGTAGGAGACAAAAAGCAATGTCGCTCATGCTTGAGTAGATTCAAAAATACCAGCTGTGTGCACCCCACAGTGATCAAAAACCAACATTTACTGTGCCCCTCCTGCACTGCAGCCTGTGAACAAGCAAAACCAGGTTGTACATTTATACAAATGCAAAAATTACTTGTGACTTAGGATCTGTAAATATGTGAAATTTCAAAGCCTTGCAGTTAATTTATGATTTATAAATGTATCTCATCTATTGAGTTCAAGAAATGAGCTCATTAAAACCTTTTTCTTTGCCTTCGTGTTGACACCAGCTGTTTCCTTGAGACAAGCAGCAGGTGGCACTAACTGTCCTGTCCAGTTTAGTTTCTCTGACATGAGAAAGGTCACAGTTTCTTTGTTGCTCCATATGGATCTGATGCTTTGGCTGATCTTCATTCCATGTATGAACTGAAAATGTGTATTAATAAATGTGCATCTAAACACAAACAGCCTTTTCATAGCAGCTGTTCTGACATGTCAAGGCAGGAAAAGCTTCATCGCTTACTGGGACATTAAATAAAAGTGACTCATTAATGCTATTTATTTCATTGGTGTCTTCTCTGCTATCAAAGGGTAAAATAAAAATCAAGGTATGTTGAGAAAGAGGAACAGAACGTGCTCAGAGTTTAGACACAGATATTGCACGGTGCACTTCCTGTTATTTACGCATCCAAGAGTCTACTTTTAAAAAATTACACATGGCTGCAGAAAATGCAGTTATTACAACACAATTTAACATTGATCATCTATCACTTCTTTCTTTTCTTCAACACCAGCCAGATGTTGACCTGACATCATTACCATGTGATGCTCCATTTCGGGTTGGATGTCACTGACTCACCAGACGACTTGAAATGATCCACTTAATGCTGCTCAGACCAGATTTGAGCAGCACTAAGTGGATCAGCAGTTTTGGTTTGAATTTAGACAACGACATTTGTTTTTTTGTTTTTTTTGTTTTAAAAGGAAGATTTATGTATGTGAGAATGTGCTCTGTTCCTCTTTTGTATTCCTCTGGTGACCACAGCCAACAGCAGGCCATTTCTTTTTTCAAGAGAGTTTTCCACTTGACAATTTGTCCATTGAAAAAAACGTATGTATTTATAACAGCAGCAGTCAAATCACAACAACAGGCGCTTTGTATTATAAGGTAAAGGTCTTACAATAATACAGAGAAAAACCCAACAATCATATGAACCCCTTTGAACAAGCATGTGGTGACAGTGGGAAGGAAAAAGACAAAAGACACACTGTGGAAGAGAACCAGAGGTTAATAATAACTAACTAATGGTTAAATAATTGAAGTGACTACCAATGAGAGTGCAGAATACCATTGATTGACCTATAACCAGGTAATAACATCTATCAAGGAAAGTAGTGCTGGTAACTAAATCAGATATAGTGCCCTTAAAGTTACTATGGCAATAAGCCAAACAGATACGCTTCTGTGACAGTGTGGCCGGGCTTAGGGACCACCAACAGTAATTCTATCATTTTTATCACCAGAACATTATTAAAAGTTTGAGAAACATTAAAAATATGATTTAGTTAGCATTTACTATAGTCCTGAGTTGCTAAGAACCTAGCCTAGCAGAATAACACACTAAGGCTTAAAATGGCATGTTAGTTAAGTTATGCAAAAACACTTTAGTGGACATATTATGTACTCCAGTTCTGTTTGTAATTAGTCACATCTTAAAATAGATGGAAACAGTCAAGTGGTCACCACGAGTCCAGTGGGTGGCAGCATGTGGGCTCTTTGGAAAGTGTTTTTGTAAGAACATCCCTCTATGGGCACAGCTACAAATAGCTACTACACGGCACTACTTTGCTTAAGTGACCCCTAGGAACAACCAGGATCAACCAGCTGTTTTCACAATTAGATAACAAACCACACATTCAGGGGTAACGCAGTCAGTGGGCTAGTGGAGTGATGAATCCATATTTTTAATATTTGGTTCAAACTATTACACAAATTATCTTGATGCATGCTCAATCATCCAGGTAAGTAAATCTCCAAAGGTTGATTCTGTTCATCTGGACGTGGCCTCCTTGACTCTGCGCTCAAACCAGCAGGAGGGGAGGAACAGGGAGGAACGCTGGTTTGAGCGCAGAGTCAAGGAGGCCATTTACATGAAAAGGGAAAGACCATCTCTGAATCGAGGAGGGGGCCTAAGGGTACATGTTTCGCCATCGTACAATGCTGTGATTGCAGCCATTCCCCAACTCTCTGTGAGTGGTACTCATGGCCATTGATCAGTGGTTGTTGATCAGTGGTCATGAGAATTTGCATAATTATGATGAAGGAACTGCCCTCCCAGCCCATTGTTCCTTCAGTGGGCTGGTTTCAGTCATTATGCAAATGTACTGTTTATAAGGTTGGAGAAACCTGCAGTCAGCTGAGACTGAAGAAGTCACTTGGATGAGTGACAAAACATTTCTCCCACAAAATGCTACGTCCAGATGAACAGAATCAACCTTTGGAGATTACACAAATTACTTAGTAGTTTACCTATGAGTTTTCAGGCTTTGCTGAAGAATAAAGGTGGCCATGCCAAATATGGACTTTCAGGGTAGTTACAAGGATACAATTGCACGTTTCCATAAATCACTGCACCTATTTTCCGTTTTATAAAAAAAGTGAGGGGTGGCTCAAGACTTTTGCACAGTACTGTATAATGTCGTGAAAAAGAGAGCTTTCAGAGGTGCACTAAGTACAATAATTAGAAGTAATCTTTTCTCTATGACTTGCTGGTATCTCATATTATTGTGGAGTCATTTTGGTCCATTTTCTTTCTTTGTTTCACTTTGTTGAAGTTTGAGGTTTTTTGTCTGCGCACTGCTCTCTTGAGTTTCTACCACAAGATTTCAGTCAGACTGAGGTCTGGACTTTGACTCCGCCATTACACAAGCTCAATTCCTTTCTTTTTCAGCCATTCTATTGTAGATTTGATGGGTGTGCTTGGGATCATTAGAGATCAGATAGATGGTCACACATTTGACTCTCGAATAGTTCACGGTGACTCAGTGACACCAATGTGCCCAGGTCCTGTGACCAAATCATGACCCCCCCACCACCGTGTTTGACAGCTGGTATGAGGTGTTTGTGCTTATTAACTGTGTTTGGGTTTCTCCAAATACAGTGCTGTGCTTTATGGTCAAACATCTTCACTTTGGTCTCATCTATCCAAAGGACATTGTTCCAGATGTCTTTGTGGTTTGTGCTGAGATGTACTTTTTAGAGAGCTGAGACTCTCTCCTGGCAAACCTTCCAAACAAGTCATATTTGTTCAGTCTTTTTCTAATTGTGCCATCATGAACTTTAACATTAGCTTGCTAGCTGCAGTCTTTAAAGTCTGACATTGTTTTTTGTTGTGTATTTTTGCAGGTTCTCTGAGAATTGCACAGTCTGACTTTGGAGGGAATTTGCTGGAACTTTGGGAAGGTTGAAGCACTGTGCTGACACACCCCTGCACTTAACTACTCCAGACCTGCAAACTGCCACAACCTCTGCTTTTTAGAGGTGCTCACACTTTTTGATCGTCGTTTAATTAACTGCACTTGATACTTACCCTCTTAGTTTCTATGGAAGCATTAATGCCACACTTAGTTTTTTACAGGTGGGCATGAAAATATTCTTTTTCACAGCACAGCTGTAGTTTATGTGTCTGTAGCTACCTAACTGTTCCTCCGTGCATGGCTCTCTGTAACTCCAGCTCTCTGTTAGTAGTCTTTCTCTACTTTTTGTCTTTACCTGCCTCTCAGCTTCCCTCCTTGCTTTATCTAACAACAACAACAACACTAACAACCACAATTATATCCAAATAAAAATGAAACTGCAGATTAAATAAGTAGTTACTAAATGATATAAGGTGACAGAGAAAAACTACTTGCCCACATTTCTTCAGTATTGATTCATCTATTGAATTTGTTTCTTTTAGCTAACACCTTCTTTTTGATGTCACTATGTTTTAAATGATACCACTGGAGTCCTGCGACACCTAAACGCCCACGGCGACTGCTCAAAAACTGTAAAAGAAGCTTCAAACCTTTAGCGGTGGGGGGTCACCTTGACTTGTAGCCACCGCGCATTGCCATATAAAGACAAAAAACGCCTTTCATTCCTGTTTCTTGTTTCAAGTGTTGCATGTCACTTCCTTCCTCTTAGATTTGAATAGATGCGTCGTTGCCCTGTTTCGGTCCCAACTCAGTGCGCTGTCTGAAAAGCAGTGAGCGGCACAGCAGCCAGAAGAACCGACTGAGGACGAAAGAGATAAAGACGGACGACAAGTGTAACCCTCCGAGCCCAGAGATCAGCTTCCTCACTACGTCTCTCAGGTAAAGAAGGTAGAGGGCAGGTGGCTTCTAATCCACGTAGGTATTTCCTGAAGGCGTAACTGCAGGGTGAGAGAAAGACTCAGATTTTTCTTTTTAATATTTAATAGATATTAAATATTAAAAGACAGAGAGAGAGAGCAAGAAAGACCGAGAGATAAAGGACATCTCTGCAGGACATCTTTGTAATGATGTATTATCGCATATATAGCTGCACAGCCATTGATTTTAGTACTGAAGCTGGATCTTTCTTGATTGCAGCTCAGTTTTGCTGCTGTATTCATTAAAGCCTGCCCTGCTTTAGAAACCAACAGCACAAAACTCCAAACCTTGTTTGCTCCAAACCTAAACGCCTTGTTTACAGCGTGCATGTTGCCTTTAATCATTTAACACCTGCCATACATAAATTAAAGAATAAGAGCAGTTAGAAGCAGAGTGAGGCCTGCATGGGGGAGAGGAACAGTGCAGAGAGCTGAAAAAGGAAGTTTGCGGTTTTCAAACTTCAACTGCAAAAAAATCCCTTTAAGGTAGCAATGGGTGGGCAGAAATATAGAGATCATCTCAGGACAAGCGATTAATACTTTATGATTGGAGAAGATGCTAAGCTGTGGATACAGTTAACTCAGAGCCGCTTGGACGATGCGCACTAAGAGATGAGATCGGGGCCATGATGCTTAGAGACGGCCCTCTTTCTTTGTGCTTTTTGCAGCTTTTTAAACTACTTGTACTCATGTTTACCAAATAATAATACTTCTGCTACACTACTTTGCTATTTGATTTTACTTGTCAATCATGCAATATTCTGATGAAACAGGATGCTTGCCAACAGATGAATCAACACGTGCACATTCAGTGCAGGAAATTGTTGACGCTTGCTAGTGTTGCATGTTTTAGATCGTGCCGCTGCAGGCCATTAAGAGGCCGAATGGAAATGAGGAGAAACATAGGTGTAAAAGCATTTCCTGTGGTGTGAGGCTTTGTTAAACAAATGACAGCATGCACGAAGCATGGGATATGCGATGCTGCGGTGAGGAAACATACCGCCCTCGCTTTAACACATAGAACACACTAAAATGGCCTGTTTGCATCATGTTTTCCCCCCACGCTTTTCTCTGTAATGACGCCAGCTCACCATAGCAGCGTGCAGAGCTTTGGTGGCATGTTCTCCGATTATTTTCAAAGTGGAAGGTGGAAATCTTTACAGTTAGATTGTTTTAATATCAGGTGGCGCAGTGGTGCAGGGTCACCTCACAGCAGAAGAACTGGTACAAATCCCAGCTGGGGCCTCTCAGCGTGGAGCTTGCACGTTCTCCTCATGTCTGCGTGGGTTCGTTTTGGGTTCAGAGACGTGCATATTGGGGTGTAGGTGTGAATGTGAGCGTGGTTGTCTGATTGCTTCTGACAGGCTGACAGGCTGATGACTTGGCTAGTGCATGCCCCGCCTCTCGCTGGGGACATATTTAGTAATCCTAAATCATCAAAGCTTCAGCAACACTTCACTATTTTAACTATGTTAGAAATTACACTAAGAGATTTCAGACACAACATTCATGTGTAAGTAACTTTAGATTTTAATGTTTTTGTTGTTGTTGTTTTATTATAAATGCTGTTTAGTCCAGGTGTTAGCCAGAGTCAAGATACAAAGCAGTGCTGGGAAAAGGTGAAATACACACAGACTCATGACCCATGTACATGAGAAAGTTAAACCGTGTGAACCGTAAACCCTGTTTTTAAGGCGGTTAAAGTTTTCAGAAGGAAAACAATATTAGCAACAAAAGGAGAACTCATGCATGCAGATGCTAAATCAGAAATAGTTGATCTAAAAAATCTCTAAAAATAAAACTGTGAAAAGAAACTGGAACTTCTTGCCACAGAGATAGTTTGAGGCAGATCATGGAAGAGCATCAGTGCAGAAGAGCTCAGCGACACTTTGCACCATAAAGGCCAGACTGAGTCATTTCATTTCCATGACCCATTGCAAAACTTTTAACACATTAAAAGTGTTAAGACCCGTACTTTTGCTGAGCTGAGTTTCATTTCTGCTTCTGACTTCTGGCTGCTGTCTAACAGGCCGCTTGATTTTCAGTGGCTCAAAGCTAATTCTCGTACCTAAAAGATATGAAAAGCTTACATGTGTGCACATGGTGAATTTGGCTCCAAAATCAAAATAAGAGTGCCAGAGCAGACATACTAGCAGCAGCTAATGTTTGCCAGTGGTTGAGTCTTGCGTTTGTCATTCACCCACGCTCGAAAAAAAGAAAAAGAATCTGCCCAAATTTAATAGTATAAATAATCTAACAGTATAAAGCCCTTATAAGGCCCTTTTTGGGTGCTTGTGGCACATTTATCCAACTATGTTGTTTATCTTTGTATATCTTAGACTGCACTATTTTTTATCCTTTATCATGCTGCTGTAACATCTATGTAAGTATCTATAGATCTATCTATTGCTGACTTCAGGCTGTGTTTATTGCTAACTAATTTAATTACATGTAAGTTTCCCAAATAATTTAGTTACACAAGTGAAATGTTACATTTAATGGAATCTGCCCAAATGAAATTTACTTGATTGGTACAAATGCAGTTTACACCAGGCACATTTTCCTTAATCATGACTTATTTGAATAAATTAACCTTATATTTCAGTTGCATTGTTCTCATATTTATTGTTTCATGTTCATTGCGGGCGAGGAATCTTTTTATTAGTGTATCTGAGTGCCTTGCTTCCAAGTCCAAAGGGCTGCTGCAGAAAGGAGCTAATCATCTCCTACACCTATTCTCACTCTTTACAAACAATTAAACAAAACCCAGTCCGGCCCTCCATGAAGGACATTTCACTGTTGCCCACTTGAGGCTGAGAAACATTTACTGTAACCTGCACAGTTCAATCCAAATGATTCATACATCTGTAACCTGTCATCTCTATGGATCTGATCCACAAATGTGCATCATTAAGTCTTTCTTTATTTTTTTTCTTCACTTGTAGCTCAGTGGGGTTAGCTTTAGCGGTTTTAGCATTCATGGGGAAAAAGAAAAGGAGAAGAAGTTTGGGTGTTTTTACACATTTACATATTCTGACTCATACCAATATTAGCTGCGTCTTTATTTATCCTATCTTGGATAGATCACCTGGAATCAGCTAATCTTACTCTTTTTAAGGCAGCTTTCTTTTGATTGGCTGCCCCTCATTAACATTGGTATAACAGGTCATTTTACAACAGTCATTTTAAACAAAGTATTTCGTCATTACCTTACAGCTGTCTGCAATCAGTTACTTATCTTTCATCAGTATCCTTCAATTGCATAACATGGAAACGCAGGCTGAGACACTTCTCTTTATACTGCGACACCATCTAGTAAATCGATATGCATTTTACAGCAATTTGCCTTTTCTTATCATCCCTTACATCAGGTTGCTTTTCATCCAACAATTTCATTAATAAAGTCATCCTTTTTTAAAGTCATCATCAAACCGTCTTCCCTGTAAATCTGTTGTACCCCTGTTCCTCCTTTTGTCTTAAATGTTACTTTGTGTTTCTCTTCACATTCGACTGCCAAAAAAGGATCTGAAGTCGACAAATGCTCGGAGTGAATCATGACAGACTGAAATAGAACGTCCTGTGTGTCATGTGATTGGCAGCTACTCAGAACTGCTTCACTCTTCCTTATCTGCAGCTTTTTCCTTTCTAATAAGCAAAAAAGAAACAGGTCATGAACACATGTGGTCATTGTCAACGTGACTGTTTGGCTGCAAAAATCGACAGCGCTCCAGTTAAATCGCGTTCTTTAAAAATGCAACGCATGATAGTGCAAGGAGATTATAATGCAATGATTTCTGTTCATTTAGTCTCTGTGTTGCCTAAGGGACACTGGAAACATTCGGTTTACTCGGTGGCATAAATAGTACATGAATAAATAAATCTGTATCTAGAGTGTTAAACCAAAACTGGCAGAACGGTGAAATAAAGGACCTTCTGTCACATTACAGCATCAGAAGTAAATGTTACAAATAGTCAAAGTTTCCACACTTGCAGTCTGAAGTTTGGCACTGCTCTGCCTCATTTGCGATGTGACCTCAAACTTCCCCACTGAACTGAGATCATCGATCACATCTTCAGTTGCTCAGTTCCTCTCTGTGAATTTCAACTTTTTTGTGAGTAAAGAACATCTAAAGGAGTAAAACCTGACTGTGTTGTTGCGTCCAAGAAGGCTGAGGTTGATGGGCTCCCAGCAGTCCTCAGAACTAAAACTTCTACATCCAAGGAGCAAAATGTGCCTTCAGCAGCTGAGAGTCAGCTTACACATAAAACATCATTAGCTCTACTGCAGCATTTTTGCATGCAACAACATGGTGTGGGAGTTTCTGTTTGCTGATCTCTGTCTCCAGTTCCTGGTGGATGTTTGTCCCCAAATGAAAGCTAGACAGAGTTTGAACATGCCATCGATCCATCCATCTCTTGATCTCTTCATCAGCTCTCAAAAACGAAATAAATTAGTTTAATTCTTCTTAATTTAATCACTAGCTTAAATTGTGGTTCATCGTTTATCACAGATTCAAACAGGGTAACGTCGTCTTTGACTATAAATCAAATCAGTAATGATAACACCCAGAAATGTAAATTCTCAGACAGCTGCAGCTTTGGTTGCTGTGGTCTCTGAGCTAATTCTCTTTGGCTCTAAACTGCAATCATCTGAATTTTCTGTTACATCACAAATCTTTTAGCATAAGAACCTCTTTTGATGCCCAGTAGTAGGGGTGATGGCTCTGCCCACTGATTGCCTAGCAGCAGAGAAAATACCGTCAAAATGAGACGACCCTAATCCATTTGATTTATGTCCAAACAACATGAACAGTCATCAAGCTAGACTAACAGAGATGCATAGAGCGATTCCTTGATTTACTGAAGCGATGGTAGCTGCTGCTAAACTGGTGGCTACACTCAGTACCTCAAAAGATTCTCAGCGATTAAAAAGTACCACCCCATAGAGTGAGACTTGTTGTTGTTGCACAGCTTTGGGTAGACCCTTTATTTACTGCACGGGTTGTTAGAGGGACCGTGTTTCTAGAAATGTCCTTCAGAGACGTCCACACAGGAAGAGACCAGCAGTGTTGTGTCGACTGGAGACTGCAGGGTGTCAGGGATACAGGGTGAAACAAAAATAGGCCGTTTCCAAGTTCAGCTTCAAGGTGAGCAGCTGATGCAACCACCAACGAGAGCAAAGGATACTTTTGATTGACATATGATGAGGTGGTAATTACAAAACTGGAGGCTTGAATGTCGACTAGACAACCGCCATCTACAAATGCAGACGCAGCTTAATGTGAATGAAAAGATTCTGGTTACTAAACAGGGTTTTTGTGAACCAGAGCATCACTGTGCTGTTTCCTCTTTTGGCAAAGAATTTGTGTGTACTTGCGACTTGACTGTGGGTGGTTAAAGGTTACCTGGGGGACCTCAGGGTGCTCTGATCTTATTACACACGCAGCAGTAATGAACAGAGAGGCTTTTGTCTGTCAGGCAGGAAGTGAAGCACAAGCAGGAAGTTTTACACTGGCAGAAGTGAGAACTGAGCAGTTTGCTTCACAGTAGAAAATCAGGATACCATCTTTGAATTTCCTCTTTCTTTCCCCACCACATGGTCCCTGCTTACATGCTCCTCAGTGCTGACAGGCTTTGACTTTTAAATTTAAGGATGTCTTGTGTTTTTTCTCTTGTGCCAGTTTCAGGTTCCTCTACTGATTCACGCTTCAACATGGCCGCCCCACCGATCACTGCAGAGGAGCTGGAGGATCTTAGAGAAGCATTCACTAAAATTGGTAAGATAGATCAGAATCAGAAAGACTTTATTTATCCCCAAGGTGCAATTAACAAACAACAGAGCAGCATAACGTTGAAGATAAGGACAATAAGAACAGGCAATAAGAGTGAAATAATAAATACACAGAATATACAGTATATACAGTTTTAAAATCACAGTTTTAAAATTAAAGTGACTAAAAGTCTGATGTTCAGAGGATCTCTGAAGGTGTGCTCAAAAGATGTAAGACTTTGACTCTGTTAGTGTGTTTAAAATGTCCTGGGTGAGTGGGAAAAGTCAGACTTGGCCGTCTTTTGATAGTTTTTTCCTCTAATAGTATTTTTCTTTCTTCTCATGACAAAGATTTGATCATTCCAAATTTCATACAGTTACCATTCAAATAAATACAAATGCCATGTAAGGAAGAGATCCCTAAGAAGACACAGCAACAGGTTAAACTAATATCATTTTGAATATTTGAGTAAGGATGATGTGTAATCTCAGCAGCCTGTGCAGCCACAGAGATGAGAAGGAAGTTACACACCGGACATGAAGTCAGATAATGAAACAATACCTATGACTAATATTTCAGGCCGGACATTGTGTTAGAGAGTAGTGTGCAATCTGCGCCGTTAGCAGAGTGAATAGAGCAGAGTAGAGTAGCTTTGCATGATGAGTTTAGCTTCACTCCATCTTTCTTCTGATTGGTTGGAGTTGAAGAGGAGATGATTTGGAAGCTCCACCCACCCGCTGTGTGCCTGAGATGACCATATTAAGGATATCCACCTGACATCATACAGAGCTGTGCCTGAGCCATTCAGAGCGGCTCACATGAGTTACTTTACTGTCTTCATTGTATGAGACTTTATAGGGAAAGTTTAATGGACCCTCTTTAAAGTTGTGCTTTCCCCTCCATCCTCCTCCAGATGTGGACAATGACGGCATTATCAGCAAGGATGAGCTTGATGCTGTCCTCAAGGCCGCCAACCTTTCACTGCCGGGCTACAGAGTCAGAGAGATGATCCAGGAGCTGAGCAAGAGCAGCGAAGAGCTCAACTTTGATAAGTTTACTGAAGTGAGTTTACTGTAGAATGATCAGACAAATACACAGTGCAGACATAGTGTGTTGATCACTCACTTCATGCATACTGCATAAATGATTATTTCTCACCTTTCTTTCTTGTTCCCATCTCCAGATTGTCCATGGACTAAAGAGTGCAGAGGTTGCAAAGACCTTCAAGAAAGCAATCACCAAGAAGGAGGGCATCTGTAATGTGGCAGGAACCTCAGAGCAGACTGGCACTCAGCACTCTTACTCAGGTCAGCACACACACAGTCGTGTTTTCATATCTTAGTAGGGCCATCAAATTGATATCACGCTTTCTCTCTAGCCGCTTACCCTAACCATCAAAAATGAGTGCCTAACCCTAACCCTTAACCTAACCTAACCATAACCTAACTGTAAGGCTGACACTAAAACCACATTTTGAGTCTCAAAAATGCCTTCAACCTTGTGGGGACAGGCATTTTGACTCCATAAGGTCTGTTGGTTCCCGTAAGCATAGTAACATTCTAATTTTTGGTCCCCACAAAGATATGGAAACACACACACACCGAAACCATCTGAATACATTAGACATTACTGGAGAGTTTTCATATCAATAGTTCACTTGATTTGATGCCAACCAAGCTTAAAAGTGTTTATGTAAACAATAAAACAAACCTGTTATTCAATATGAGATGCTAACCTGTGTGAATGAAACGCATCAGGATAAATGAGGCCACCGATAGAAAATTCAAATAGTCTGAGTCAGTAAAAAGTACATCTGTTGTTATATGTGTGTATTGTTGAACTTGCCTCAGGAAATCATCTGAATGAATCAGACACCAAAGTCTGACACACATATGTTTATAAAAAGAAACAAAAAACCCCAAACAATCAGTTTTGTTAATATTTTGCACGTGGTCGATGCAGATGATCATCCAGCTGCTCACTTTAATTTGCTTTTTTTGCTCTGCAGAGGAGGAAAAGGTAGCCTTTGTGAACTGGATCAATAAAGCTCTGGAGAAGGATCCAGACTGCAAACATGTTCTGCCCATGGATCCTAACACCAACGACCTGTTCACCGCCATGGGAGATGGGATCGTTCTCTGGTACGTTATCTTTCACAGGAACAACAGCTGACTTCCTGAAAACTTAAATCACGGTTTTACATACAGGGGTTGACCCAGTTTGCATAATTTTTACAGACGTGCTTGGGTTGGATATTACTTCAGTTTTAAATAGCTATAATAACTTTACTGGTTGGTTATAAACTGAAAATTTGAGCAAATTTAAAAGTTTAAATGAGAAATCCAACTCCAAAAAAGAAGACAACTGTGATACTGTGTAATAATTTTTAGATCTCTTAAACGTACTGTACTTCTTTGCTGAGATATCTTAGCTTCAGGGACATTAAAAAAGAAAGAAAGAAATGAAAGTAGCCTTCATCAGTTCTACTTTCGAATTGGGGAAAGAAAACAGTTCCGTTATCAATCTGGATGTTTTTCCTCTCTTGTTAGTAAAATGATCAACCTGTCTGTAGCCGACACCATCGATGAGAGAACAATCAACAAGAAAAAGCTCACACCCTTCACCATCCAGGTGAGACTCTCCTTGATTCTGGCAACGCTTTTCATCTCCTTTACCTACCACTGTGCACAATCAGCAGTCTAACAGAGTTTCTGTGCGTGGGATATCTTACTGCTTGATCTAACAGGAGAACCTGAACCTGGCCCTGAACTCGGCATCAGCCATTGGCTGCCATGTGGTGAACATTGGAGCTGAGGACCTGAAGGAGGGCAGGCAGCACCTGGTCCTGGGTCTGCTGTGGCAGGTCATCAAGATCGGGCTGTTCGCTGACATTGAGCTCAGCAGGAATGAAGGTGCGTGTGTTTCTCATTTAGAATACAATGAAAGCTAAAAATAGACTAAAAAATGACCACAGATGTTAAAAAAATACTTTGGAAGTGATATTATTTACTTGCTGAGAATCAGATTCATGTATTCAAGACAAAAGTAAAACCAAAGCCACCAGCTACTTTTCAGTTGCTTACCAGCTAATCTATACTCACTCCATGCACATGAGGATGTTTTTAATGAAAACACATGCGTGCAGCTCTGATCGCTCTGCTGCGGGACGGAGAGAGTCTTGAGGATCTGATGAAACTTTCCCCCGAGGAGCTGCTGTTGCGTTGGGCCAACTATCACCTGGAGGAGGCGGGCTGTGGCAAGATCAACAACTTCAACAACGACATCAAGGTGATCTCACACACACACACACACACACACACACACACACACACACACACACACACACACACACACACACACACCTGGGCCTTGTGTATAATGCATAAGCAGTCTCGGGCCCAGAAACACAAGCTGAGTTTAAACAACATCAGCAAAAGTAAGTCTAAATCTGTGTTCTCAGAGTCCCGCAGACCAAACGGAGAAAAGAACTGGAGTAGCCGAGTTGTGATCACTTTCATTCTTAAACAAAAGTAAAATCAGCCAACATCAATTTTTCATCGATACCGTACTACAGACAGACTCACATTAAAGACCTTTTCTTCTCTACAGTGTGAAGTTTTTGTTTGGCTGTTAGAAGGTAACCTTTCCAAACTGTTTGTTCCAGGATTCGAAGGCGTACTACAACCTGCTGAACCAGGTGGCACCCAAAGGAGACGAAGAGGGAATTCCCCCCATTGCCGTTGACATGTCAGGACTCAGGGTAAGACACCCGAGCATGCATCTGATAGCCATAGTGACCATTTATAGGACTAGTTCTGATATGGTTTCCGAAAGAGACTCAGGCGCAGGCCAGGGTATTCCTTTAAGCGAAGAACAGTGCATTTATTCACAGTGAACACAATCACCAAGTGGCTATATACAACGTGCAGGGGAAACGGGTCCATGGGAAACAGGGTTAGGGGGAAGGGTGCTCCACACTTTCTGTACAAAAGCTCCTCCTCAGTCACTCCTCTCAGAATCCGGTTCCAAAAACGATCTAAACACAAAAGGTCGGGTTAGCGGGATAATAACAAAGGGCTTTCAAGATACAGGTTGGCAGATACACAAGTTTGACTGACGCTGATAGCTCAACGATCCAGCAAAGACTAGTACAGACTCGCCATCTTAAGTAGTGCAGTAATCAGCTGGGATCAGCGGCCGGTGCGGTGATGAGAGCAGGTGTGTGGGCCAGCAGTGGGAGCCCGCAATGAGCGTCGCCGCGGCGAGAGAGAGCGAGAGGGCGAGCAAACAAACCACAAACATATTGCCTAATAGAGGGTCGACCAGCGGGGCACAGGGACCATGACAAGTTCCCACACATCAGTCAGTGTTACTGTCCCCTGATTGCTCATAAAGACTCAGAGGGAATCAGCAGGGCCCATATAAACAAAAACTGCTGCCTCATTTGCATATATTATTTATATTATGCTATTTTTCATTCTTTGTTCTACAAAAAATATCAGAACATATAAAATTCCTTGAAGCCAAAGGCGACGTTCCAAATACGTAAAATACAAACTTTATTAATTAGTTTTATTGCCAAATTTGAAAAAAAACCCCGAACAGTTTAACTACATATGCGCAGACCTTTGTTGACTACAGACCTGATTCTTCCAAACATGCTTATTTTGAGTGCAGGAAACTCTGATTTGGTTCTCACATTCTAATGTGGGCCTTGCTGCTCGCTCTGCAGGAGAAAGACGACCTGAAGCGAGCGGAGCTCATGCTGGACCAGGCCGACCGGCTCGGGTGCAGACAGTTCGTTATGCCCACAGATGTCGTCCGCGGCAACCCTAAGCTCAACTTGGCTTTTGTTGCCAATCTGTTTAACAAATACCCGGCTCTGAAGAAGCCAGAGAACCAGGACATCGACTGGAGCTCCATCGAAGGTAATGTAAATGGTAAATGGTAAATGGACTGGTTCTTATATAGCGCTTTTCTACTCTTTCTGAGCACTCAAAGCGGGCTTAATTCATATGTGAGAGATTCCCAACTTTCCCGATCTCTGTGCCCTAGTTTTCCTGCCATGGATGTTTAATAGCAGACTTTTTTTGTTTGTTTGTTTGTTTCCAGGTGAAACCAGAGAGGAGCGCACCTTCAGGAACTGGATGAACTCACTGGGAGTCAACCCTCGTGTCAACCATCTCTACGCGTAAGACACCTCACCGCTCTTCCTCTGTCCTTCTTTGACATGCAGCATGTTGAGAATATGAACACATTCTCCAGATTACAACAGCAAAGCAGTGTGATGTGTTTGTTTGTGCTGCAGAGACATCGACGACGCCTTGGTGATCTTTCAGCTGTACGAGAAGATCAAAGTACCAGTGGACTGGGACAGAGTCAACAAACCTCCCTACCCTAAACTGAGCAGCAACATGAAGAAGGTACAACAGCTCAACACAGTTCAAGTCACACACGATGGCTCTTTCTGTGTCAGTTCTTCAAAGGACTCTCATCTCACTCTTCAAGGGGAAAGACATCCATTTATGATGGATATGAAAAACCCCCAAAACATTTTCATTAAATTTGACACCGTGCACCAAATCCACGTTGCCTTTTCTAGAAAGCTCAAATTTCCATTCATATTATATGCAAAATTTGCAATGATGTTCGCTCTCCTGATCCCACTATGAATTCTTGAAATATTTCTGTATTCATTCACAGCAGCCAATGATTGGAATGAAAACATCTTTCACAAACAATTTTTTTTTGTTATGTGTCGTAATGACGTTTGTCATTACGACACATACTATGCATGTTGTAATGACACATTACACATATCTGTGAAAGGAGTCATCTGATCTGGCCTGTGTCCAGCTGTAAACAACAGGACATCAACTATTTTAGGGATTTCAAGCATCCACATATCCGTGCTGAACCCGAGCCTTTGTTTGTGCGTTCCAGCTGGAGAACTGTAACTACGCCGTGGAGCTGGGAAAGAAGGAGGCCAAGTTCTCTCTGGTCGGCATTGCGGGTCAGGATCTGAACGAAGGGAATCGAACCCTCACCCTCGCTCTGCTCTGGCAGCTCATGAGGAGGTAAAACCTCACTTCACTCACCTCTCACATCTCTTTGGTCTCATCTTCTTGTTTTGATTGCTCTGATTTGTGATGTGAACGTATAGGGCTGTTGTTCTAACCTGATATGAAATCAGCAGATATTTGAATGGGGGTTTGGCTGTTAAAGAAAGCGTGGTAATGCACTAAAGGGTGTATGGAACCAGAAACTATTTAACTTATAGTCTGCTTAGAAATGCCCCATTCAGGAATCTCTAAGCTACCTGTGTGTGCACCCAGGTACACCCTGAATATCTTGGAGGACCTTGGCGATGGGCAAAAGGTGATCGATGAGACCATCGTGTCCTGGGTCAACGACAACCTGACAAGGGCCGGAAAATCCACAATCTCCAGCTTTAAGGTAACACACCTCGACAGTATGGACATGGAAATCCTCCTTAGCCTCCAATTAAATGCTCCAGTGTCAAAGTTTTGATTACATCACTTCCTGTGCACAGATTTATCACGGCTTTAAAGGGAACCTATTCTACTTTTTTCCAGCTCCAGATCTTTATTGCTGAACTTCGCTAGAGTTGCTTTGCATGCTTTGTGGTTCAGAATAATCCAAGTTTATGTTACACTGGGCCTTGATGAAACTGCTTAACAGGTTATCCTCTGTGTGAAACAAGAACAAAAACCCAACAGGGAGTTTTTGGTTACACTCTGGATGGCAACCAGGCTCATAGCAGTGTAGTTTCACATCTGTAACACTAAACAATGAGAGATTTACATTAACTCTGCTGTTGTTGTTGGTTAGGACCGGTCCATTAGCACCAGCATGCCAGTTCTTGACCTGATTGATACCATCCAGCCTGGATCCATCCGGTACGACCTGCTGAAGACCGAAGACCTGACTGACGAGGAGAAACTCAACAACGCAAAGTACGTACAGCTCTTCTTACAGCTTCTTATCACTTAACAGTTCAGAAATGTCTCTGCATCACCAGCAGCAGGAATTTAATCCAACAATTACTGTGTCTTTAGGTACGCCATCTCCATGGCCAGGAAGATCGGCGCCCGGGTGTATGCGCTCCCCGAGGACTTGGTGGAAGTCAAGCCTAAGATGGTGATGACGGTGTTCGCCTGCCTCATGGCTCGTGGCCTGAGGGCCTAAAACCACAATCACTTCCTGTCTGTGAAGAGGGGACCTCTAAGGCTAGCAGCCAAAGGAAATGAGTTGCTAATGCAGAGGCTCCACTCACAAGTTGTGGCTTTAGACTGTAACTTTTTAATGACCAGAAATATTGGATTTATGATGGCAATACGGCTGTGGGACACATTTTGTAACATCTGCTGGTGATTGATGTCTTTCACTCATGTTTCTCTTAAATGTACAATAGAAAACTGTTTTATTCAAACCCAAGAAGCTGAAATAATCCCAAGGGTCAAGTTAAACCTCACCTAAAGAGTTGCTTTAAAATCACACAGGTGTGACTTTAAATGAGTTTTTACATGAAAATATGAATATTCGAAAAAGGATCTGTACCAGTCTTGATTTTCAAAGTGTTTAAGTCAGCTACAAAGATTTCTACCTCCAGCAAATAAACTAAGGGGAAAAAGTTCAAAGTGTTTCACTGCAGACCTTTAGCTTCAGTGTCTGTTACAGTAGCTGATCCACAACTCACAGAAGAGGACAAATAAACAGGTACAACCAGGAAACAAGCACAAAAATGGTCTGCTAAAAAAAAAAAAGAAAAGAAGAGAAAGGTTTTGAAGGCAGCTGATTGGAGGTTAAATGTCCATCTTTGTTGCTGTATTAATTTTCCACTTTTCCTCAATCATCTTTTAACTGCGAACATTAGCAAAAAAATAGTTATTTTTCCACTAAGACTTAGCCGGAGCATACATACAATCCACATTATATCACAAAGAGTTTTATTTTCTATGCAGAGCTGCAACATTTCCCATTTCATTGTTCAAATTTCTGTGAAACCATAAGTGATCAGTGTAACACAGCCATCTGATTACAAATCAAAATGTTTATATGTGATGTTTGCAAGCAATAAACCAACAATTTTTTTTATTACTTTTGTTATTTTTCATCCTGACATTTAAGTGGGGTAATCACTAAGATTATATAGTGATAGTGATGGACACTGTGGGATGCACACCTGGCTCTCACTCAGAAAAGTTTTGTTTTTCCCTGATCTCAGTGGAAAATGTTACAAGCTCCAACTGCCATTACCCTGACACACTAGATGCCAGTATTAAGACTTGCTGCTCACCTGGCCGCCCATTCTTCATTACATGACCCACTTTAACTCTTACCTTCATTGAGGCTTTCAGCACTTGTGATGTGAAATTAATAACTGGCGGTTATTAATTTCCCTGATCCACAACAGCAATTCCCAAAAATGAACATAAGCAGTAGACCAGTGTGTGGTAAATGCTAAAGCAGAACTGCAGCGGTGGGATCAGCCAGCTCTCATCGTGGCTGCTGTTCAGATACATCAGTAAAAGTTGTTTTTAGCCTTCTTTGGCAGTTAGTGATCTAAACTGACACCATGTTCACTCTTAGCTATAACTTAATATTTAACAGATATATTCTTTCTTAAAATGTAGAATATATTTAGAGTCTTTAAACTGTCTACAGGAAATACTGTGTCCGCCTGTATAAAAAAGATTCGAGTGTCACAGCCATTCAAGTACTCACCATGGCAGGCAGGCAGCACAGGGGGATGTGAGTGACAAGAGAAACGTAACAATCCAAAAATACAACTACACCGAGTCAAATAAACGATCTCTTTAATGAAACAAACTCAGGAGGTTTCATTTTCCAAAGGGGAGAGCACTGGGAAAAAAGGAAATGCTGCTGTCCTTCAGGCACACCTGGACTGTAGAAGATGAGCATATAGAGAAATGACTCAAATTTGAAGGACTTCATAACATATTTACAGTATTTCCTCTGACCTGCACAGTCTTCTCCTTCTGTGATGTACAGGGACACTACGAGTGTGCATTAGAGCAAACCGTCCTCGTTTAGCCGCTGCTTCAGTCCCGCCCGTGTAGCATCTATGACGAGTATTATTTGGCAGGTTTGGCCTCAGTGGGGTTTTCTCCAGTGTCCAGAGTCTTGAGGAGGCGGAAGAGGCCAGCGGCCTCGCGGATGCGGCTGAACTCGATGCAGAAAGCCTGAACCTCGATGAAGAGGTCCTGAACATTGATAATCTTGTTCCGGATGAGCGACTGCAGGAAGACACAGACCAGACGGACCAGACGATTCTGGAAGAAAGAAAGTGTGATTAATACCTAATAACACCACACAAAGCATGGTCTCCAATTTACTGGAAAACACATTGAACCAGTTCAGAAGATTCTCATTCAGAGTGGGGTGAGGTGTGCGGTACAGCCCTGTCAACAAGTCTGAGCTATAGTCTGTGTCCTCAAGTCATTCTACTGTTTTATTAGTCTGTTATTTAGTACTTATTAGCAGGGGTGTGTGTGTTCAACATACTGACTTTCTGCTCCAAAACTTGAGGAGTTCTTTGTTCTTTTATGGATTTTTTTTTTTCAAGGATTATGATTAAATATGAAGAAGCATCACTACATTGCGTGTTGTACTCTACCTGCATGTATTTGTCTTTGATTTGCTCACAGGTGGAGATGCAGTTAGAGATGTAGAGGTGGATAAACTCAGGAGGCAAATCCACAGCTGTGGTCAACCTGCGGACAAAAAAACCCCCCAAAGAGTGACATTTCCACTTTTGACAATGAAACTTTTAACACCTCTTAAAACAGACCCAGTTTAGTCAGTCAGCTTCTGAATGAGTCATAGCGTGAGCCGAGTTTAGTTTAGGAACTAGAACTGGGCTTACTGACGAGAGGCCGCTTTACTCGAGTCACACATAGCGCAGATTAAAAAGCAACCAGTGACACAAACCCCACAAAACCTCGAAAATCTTTTGAAGACCGGATTAAAAAAAACAAACAAAACTTTATTTTTAGTTTGACTTTTCAAACCTCAGCACACTGACATCAGTGTTCTGATCATTGTCCTGGCTTTGGTTGTTTTGTCTTTTTTTTTTCAGATCACACATTTGGCCTTTTTCTGTAAGCAGCTCCACGGCTCCGTGCCCCCACCTGTTGACGACCTCCATGGAGTGCAGCGACATGTCCATGTTGACCAGCACTGAGAAATATTCTGTGATCTGGCTGCTCTGCATCAGCTTTAGCAGCATCTCGATGGCCACCAGCGGGTTGTTCTCAACCAGGTCAGGCAGCTTCACCGGAGACAGACCGATGTGGTAAACCAGCTTCGGGTCCTTCTCCAGCTCAGCCAGCAGCTGCAGTGACAGAGCATGCAGGGAGTTACTGACAAGCAAAGATTTACACGCTGCATTTCAAATACACTGAAGGAGGAAAAAACTACAAATGATAAATATATTACCTCTGATAATGTAATAATATTAAAATATTAAAACCATTACTGGCTCCACATCTGGAAACAAAGATTTTATGCTTTCTCTTGTAAACCCTCTCTTCATAATTCAGGGTCAGCGGGGTGCTGGAGCCTAGCCCAGCTGTCCTGGGGTCAGAAGACAGGTATGCTCTGGACAGATTGCTAGTTCACAGAGCTAATCCTCGGTAACAACAGACTGTATAACGAAGCTCTCTGGGTCTGGGAGTGATGGTAAGACAAAAGATGTTAAGTTTGGGTGTGGTTAATTATAAATAATTACCATCTTATATAAAGATGCATACTGTCCTCCAGTGTCTGGAGAAACAGAAATAAACTCCCACTATCAATCAGCTGTAAACTACCATTTTTATCCTCTGATTAATCCACATCATTCCATTTTATTCCTGTTGATTTCACATTCTGACTCTTTTCAAACCATGTTTTAATGTCTTGTCTTAATATATTTGTCTTGTGCTTTTCTCCTTTTGTGAAGTAGCAACTTTAACCCTGAAATTCCTCTCTGTGTTTATCTGGTTGCACTCCAAAGGCAGCTGGTGGCAGCACCATAGTTTCAGTTTAAATAGAATTGCAGTGCCTGACTTTAAGAGAAGCATTAAATGGCTGACGCACCTGTGATTGCTGCTGTGCAGACAGCGGGCTCTTGAAGGCCTTGGACATGATGCGTTTGATCTCCACGCCGGTGCTGTTCTTCACACACATGGAGCGATCCCACTGGATGCTGTGATCTGGCTCGGTGGGGTTCAGCCACGCCAGCTCGTCCTCACAGACGTGGAGAGGAGGCGGCGGCCGGATGAACTCAGGGCGGAAGTGACCTGAGGATTAAACAACGATATTGAAACACTTGTGATAATCCTGTTCTGTTTCAGACGTAGCTTTATTCATGGGTGGCGGTCTACTCTAGTAACCATGGCTACATGTGTGCCAGCTTTAAAAGGTGATCTCGTGTTCAGAGAGCCAAGCATTGTGTCTCAGGATATGAACAGCAATGAACTGTAATATTGGGACACCACGGCAGAGAGCTGAAGCTCTGATGCACACACTAGTGAAACTACTCAGGTTCTTGTGTGACCATGCTGTTTCATCTGACTTATGTTCATCCATAAGTCAGATGTGCACTTGACAGCTGAAAACCCACAAAACTGCCAGCAAAGCAAAACATTCACTTGTTTTTCATCTCTGATCTCCTAATTCACACAGCTCCTGACTTGTAAGCTAGAAGTGAATAACCAGCCGAACTTTTTTTTAGTGATGAGACCCATGATGATAAGACATACTCTTTTCATGTTGCACGCACACACACACACACACACACACACCACTGAGGTGACCTGCTTTTAATGTTCTTGGTTTTCTGCATAACAAAAGCCTTTTTGAAAAATGAACAAACAAATCATCAATAACACTTACTTTCCAGGGGAGGGCGTGGGCCTGTGACCAGAGACTCAATGATCTGGTTGGCCACAGAGCTGTCGAATCCTGAGTTGGATGAGTCTGGGTCTGGATCATTGAGAATGCTTGGGAAACTGGCCTTACTCTGAGTGGGCAACTCTGACTGACGCTCTAAACAACAAAGAGACAGAAACAGTGAATTAAAACATAAAAGAAACAAAGTGCAAAGTAAACAAAGTAATCTCTGCAAAGAGATTAAAGAAGAAAAAAAATTGCCTTTTAAAACAAACCAGTATAAACAAGTGAGTTTTGACCAGTCACACCTAGTCTTTCAGTCAGTAGATCATTTATGGGTGAGTGGGTACTGACCTGCCAACGCTAGCTGCAACCCGCTGATGTCTACAGACTGGGGCATGTTGCCAACATCCATGCAGGACACCTGTCTGGGTGTCTTTTTGAAGAGATCCCTGGGAGGTGCCAACATCAGTTGGGACAGGAAGAACTTCTCAGGTTGGGTGATGGGAGGCAGGAAGCCTGGACACCAAACACAGGAGACCTCATACACTTCATAATCCCTGATGCCCTCATTCATCATGTTACACAGTCACACTGAGACTGCCAGTGTAACTGGGTGTTGCACTGGCAGCAAGATCTGAGGGCAAATGTTTAACTGAACTGAACAAGTTTGTCTGAAATGAGAAACAGACCGTTTCTCATTTCAGACAAACAGATAGGGACAACATTACATAAGGCTGTGGTCCTTCAAAGCACAATCATGTGCCACAGAGACATCACTCGTTTGTGTCTAGACTCTAGAGTATAAGATGCCAAAAATCTTGATTGGTCATCACTGTTACAACACGAAGACTCATACTCTTTAAAAAAAAAAAAGCACAACCCTCAAATATTGAGTTTAGCTTCAGAGAAAACCTCAACTTTGTATCAAAGCTTATTCACTGCTGCTATATGTCCTGCTCGTTTAGGCCTGGCTGATTTCTTTCTCGGTGACATAAACAAAGTCAGGAAAAAGCGTTTTCACACGGAGACCTACCGGACAGCACCTTCTCCTGCTCCTCTCCGGCAGGTGCGGGGTTCAGCAGGTGCGCGAAAACAGCGGCGAAAGGGTTAGCGGCCAATGGCTCGGTGCGGTACATCTCCCACAGCAGGTAGAGGGCGATGAGCCGCTGCGAGGAGCTGGGCAGCAGGTCCGGTTGCTGCAGAAGCATCACCAACACCGAGCCGACCCTGAAGTGCTCCGCTTTCCCGAAGTAATGATGAAAGTGAGTGGAGAGGCTTTCGAAGGAGTTGGTGCAAGCCTCTTCCGAGATGATGCTCAGCAGGTTGGACAGTTCCTTCGGAGCGAGTGTCATGGTTTCCTCAACTGAATCTTTTCTGCTTGGGCGGAACCGTTATGAGACTATTTTTTTTGTTTGTTTAAATAGCTAATATAGCAAATACAGCATCCTCGCAACGAACCGGGTGCGTTTAATTCATATTTGAAGAGCAAATCTGAAAAGCTACAGAATGAAAATGATCAAACGAGTTGTTAGCAAAAAGTTAGCTTAACTAGCATTGCGGCGCTAACTGACATAAAGCGGCATTTTCACAGTCGAATAATCCGCCCCACAAACTCCACTCTGCCCGGTGCTGAAACTGCATAACAGTCTTACAAAAACTAACAAAACATTAACCGATAGAAACATCCAAGTTTGTCCAGGTGTTTTCACGACTGTTGAGAGTCGGTGACCGACGTATTAGCAGTTTAAATTCACGACAGTACGTCGGTCATACCGAGCTGCATTACGGGTAATGTAGTTTCGTACAGTGGCGTTTCACTTCCCCCTTAAAATAAACTCGTTTAAGTAATCTATAGGAAAGCAGCAATTTTAGACTCGAAAAGCGTGAGGTGTCATCCAATAAAAGTCACTTTTAAAGCTACAGCTGACCATAAAATAGTGGTTTGACTAGATAAAGAGCTTCTTCCTTTACCGATCAGTCCTCGCGTTATCATTTCCGGCGTTTTGTCCTGTCGAAATAAAATGGCCATTGTCGATACACTCTTAAAAGTGTTCTTTCATTGCGGTTTTCTTTTTTTTTTTTTACCTTTAAGCAGGTTTGTGAATATATATATATTTTTAAATATTCTCAGTTCTTGTGAGCATACGCATTTAATTATTATTTCTTATCTTCACCTTTCAACAAAAAAAAACTTAACTCTTCTGTACGCAGTTTCTACCGTCCAGTCTGATAAATACACAACAGTAGTACATGCTTATTGTTAAGACATTTATTTAGTATTTTCACTTAAAGAACATTGTGCTTTCAGTCATGTTCACTTTGGAAAGGAGAAAGCTTCTCCTGAGGCCTGTTCTTTCAGGTAGATCCCGAAGAATGAGATGGGAGAAATAAAATGAAAGCGATGATCTAAAGAGAAACCAAAGGTCCTATAAGAAACTCAAAGGTGATGAGTGCAATTCAGCAGGGGCGTGTTACTCTTAAAATATTCTACTCTTAAAATATTTTGTGAATCTCAACCCAGACTTGTCCTGTTTAGAGGTCAATGTCTGCACTGAGGGCAATGAAACAGATTCTTGATTTTCTTTTCTTTCTTTTTTTAAAGGCCTTGGAGAAGCTGTCCATAACATTTCACAGTTCATCTCATTTTTTAGTCCACACTTTAAAGGGATATTGCAGGCTAAACAAAAACCAGAGTGAGCCAAAGTTTGCAGCAGCTCAAACGATTTGCTGTCTACATTAAAGACATTCTGTCTGAAGGCTGGCGTCCGTTGTGTTCACATATGAACTTACACTAGGTTTTTTTTTTTTTTTACCTTTTCAAAGAGGGTTGTGTGCTGCTTCACACTACACCTTCTGTTCTTTTTGTGCTCCTACAGAGAAGTGTGTAAATTTCTGATGATTTGTATTCATTTTAATTTGGACAACATTTTACACTTAAACTTGAAAGTACATGGATATATGAATAAATACAATTATTGTTATCTGAAAATGTCAGCTTGGTATATAGGTATTAAAATAATTATTTGCAGCTACACAAGAAAGAATCTTTACCTTAAGAGCATCAAGAAAAAAAAACGTTTTTTCCTTCAACTCAAACATCTATAGGGGAAAACTGTTTCTCATCCTATTTGTTATTTAATTTGGCATACTCTGGTTTCTGTGGTAAAACACCTCTTAAGTTACACTGTACATTAAGGACACACTGTTTTCAGGTCCAAAGTCACTTCAGTCAACAAGGGAACATTTGGTTCTTACTGGTTCTCACACACACGTGCACACAACTCTTCACACACACATATGGCACAAAAATATCCACCTTTTTCTGAGAGTCGGTCTTACGTCCAAGCACACAGGGCTTCAGTTAAAGGGCTATTACAAGCAAAAACTGCACAGAAACATCACAACCTCCAGCCGGTCAAACAGACATCATAAAGCAAGCTGGTGAAACTACAGGAAAAGAAAAAAGAAAAAACAGAATATGGCGAATAAAAATGTCTATTATATATCAGGCATGCAAGCAAACACACTGTAAACTTAAACAACAACAAACAAAAAAAACAAAACAAAACTGATAACAGCTCCAGAATCTCCTCCTGGCGATTAGATCAGGTCCACTTTCCTACACGACAACAAACCCACCATGAGGCCGGACACAGGAGAGCTTAGTTCTGCTGTCTGGTCTGACCTTGGCGATTGATCAGATCTCTTGTGGATTAGATAAAATGTTAGTTTAGTTACACACATACATTTATATCAGCCAGAACTGCCTTTGCAGCTTCATTCAACACAGAACTAACAAGAAAACTTCAGCTACCGGAAAACACACATTTCCACTTGCAGACGTCACATCACAGCAGGATGTGGTGTGATGTTAAAGGAACTTTCTATGAGGACAGAAGCTCAGTTTTCACTGAATACTGTCCATGAAGAGAGCAGGATGGCATCCAATCAACTTGCAAAAAGGTCACTCACACAACTTCACTGAGTTTAGTGTCACTGAAGATCTTTGTGCTGTTCGCTTTGTTTAACATAAAAACCTTTCTGACCTGTAGTGTTTTCTTTTATCGTTTCCTTCATCTCAAGTTTATCTCCAAGACTCCTCCCTCAGAGAACTCCTCCTTTCACCTCATAAGGCTCTTAGGATTGTTTTTGTTTTTTTTTGTTTTTTTGGAGATTGGCACCATCAAAAGTCACGCAGGATTAGCTTTAACAGTTCCACACTACAGTGTCCATTTGAATCAACATCACTGGCTTATGTCTAGATTTTCAGCTCTACTATTATAAGAATCACTCTGCTGTGATCATGTCTATGATTTATAACATTTAACCACACTTACATACTAAATGGTTTCACATCTGTATGAGAAATGGAAAAAAGTTCCGCACAACATGTGTTGCAAGAGAACAAATTTCTTATGTCAACATCTTAAAATCAATTTCTTGTGATTAAAAAAAACAAAATCAAATGTGTCCTACTCATGTCTTGATCTTCTGGGTGCAGTCATTTCTTTTGATTAGTAGGACTTAGATTATTAGGACAATTATCACTTCTGCAGCATACATACATTTGTATGACCGAGACACACCCTGAATGTGTGGCAACACCTGTACCATCAGGTCCCACTTAAACGTTCTTTTCTAAAATGTGTGTAGTCATTCTTCAGAGAAACAGAGCTGTTGTGTGGCTGGAAAGCACCGCATTTCATAATTTCTTTGAATTACACGGGGTTGAAAAGAAGATACCCAAAAGAACTTTACTGACTTTTTACTTGCAGGTAGACAGGTCTCAGGTGTCTTTAAATGAATACCTCACACCTGAAACCCCTCTTAGTCCTAAAGCACTAAGGTAAAGCCTGTTATTGATTAAGTGGTCGTTTTGTTTTCACAAGCTCTGACTTTCTTGTGACCAATTAGTGTGAATTTAAGGAGACAAATGGCAACGTGGAACAGGGTCACATTTTCCCTTCTAGTTCTTGACTGCAGCTGTGATTACAGACACGTTTGGCTCAGTCAGCGTAGTGCATGATGGACTCTACGTAGTTTCCAGGGAAGAGACCGGTGGTCGAGTTCATCACTCCTTCAAACCACCCGTCCTCGTTCTTCTTGATGACGTATATGATCGCTCCTTCTTGGAACGACAGCTCGTCCTCCTTGTCGGCCGTGTAGTCGTAGATGGCCACCACTGGAGGGCGACAAACACACCAAAATATGATTACTAAACAGCAGACGGTTCAGTCATTTCACCAGAAGCAGTGCAGTAAATGTAATTACATGCATTTCAGTTTTTACGCACAACTGGAATCTAAAAAACTGCTCACCCCTGTGACTAATGCAACAACTAATCCAATAATATCCAAAGCAATTAATGAGTATAAAAGACATCAATACCTGACTTAAGATTTTTGGGGGAACTTTGGGAATTAGGTTTTCCGGGTAGACAACCTTAAATCCAAGTTGTGTTATTCTACCCGGAGACACAGTTTAAGGCTACATATTTGAGCAACTAATTCAAGGAACACTGATGGAGTGATCTAACACAACCTCATAAACAATGCAAACTGCAAGTACTTTGTTGCCTCTGTGTATTTCTGTGGCGTACCTTTCTCTAAGTAGTTCCTGGGGGCCCACGGTGGGTCTTCTTCAGCATACGGGTCGTTATACTCCACTACTGCTGAGTCCTCCTCTTCATGCCCATCCTCAGCTGGCTGAGGAGTGGGCAGGGCCTCCTCGTGCGCTACTTGGTTCTCAGTGGCAGGCTGCGAGGGAGGGGGGGCGTCTGAAACTGGAGGTTGGGGATACTTTATACAAGCTGAACTGAATCTGTGCTTAAAAGCTGATGATGTCATCCGTTTTGACACACAGATGTTCACGAGAACAATGATGTGCAGAAACATTTCTCTGATAAATTACTGAAAAAGAATCCAGATTAATACTCACTGGACTCCTGAACTCGAGCTACAAACCCCATCAGAGGAAGCTGAGGGGTGAACTGGAGCAGGGAGGGGGGCGGGGGAGAGGCTGCAAGCACAAAAGACAAAACTTTTACCAAACTTTCTCAATGTGGGAGTGGAGTGACTGGTGGCTGCTTTTATACTGCATACCTGGGCTCTGGTTGTAGTAGGGACCGCCATTGACCTGATTCTGGGTTGTAATTGGCTGACCGGTCACCGATGGGGGGCGGCGGTAAGGCAGTGACCCCCCCACCTGTGGGGTTTGCTGTCGAGGCTGAGGCCGGTTCATACTGTAGAACTGTGGGACGATAGGGCCTGACCAGCAAAGAGGGGCAACGTTATAAACTCATATTTTCTTAATACGCTGCGTATCAATCAATCAGTGATTCAATTCCATTTTAATTTTCTGTGTTAAACATGAAGGAAAGAGTTAAAGATTAGCTCCCCAGAGTGGGGATAAAATCCACAGAAACAGAGAGAAAAAAGGAGGACTTGGTGATGTTTGGAGAGCAGAGGTGTCCCTGAAAACTCACCTTCAGTGGGTGATGAAGAAGAGGAGGAGGAGGAAAGTGGAGGGGGAGGGGCAGGGGGAAGCAGCTCCGATTGGACTTCGGATGTGCTTGGGGAAGATTTAGAGGGGGGGGAGGTGCCGGCGTTTGGCGCATTCGCTTGCGAGTTTGCTTGGGAAGGTGAGTTGGCATGTTGAGAAGGTGAGCTCGGCGGCAGAGGTGCGTTGGGTTGTGTTAAGGTTGTGGTGGAGGAGGAGGAGGAGAAAGAGGAAGGAGTTGGGGACGGGGAAGGGGAAGAGTTAGGGGCGGTAGAGGATGAGCTAGCAGGTCCGGCAGTCGGGGAAACTTCAGGCAGAAGAAAAGGAAGTATGGAAAGGAGGAAGGAGTTAGGAAATAAGGTTATAGGAGGGAGTGAGTGACAAAGCACAAACAGCAGGGGGAGCTGAATTTCAAGCGCAGAAATTACACACAAAAATTAAGCTGTTTATATAGTTTATAACTTTAGAAGGATTTTAAAATATAAAATCTTAATAGTACAACTAATCCAGTTAGAATTGGAGGAATGGTGGGCAGGTGTGTAGCACAGACGTGTATAT